GGGGGGGGGGGGGGGGGGGGGGGGGGGGGGGGGGGGGGGGGGGGGGGAAAAAAGGGGGGGGGGGGGGGGGGGGGGGGGGGGGGGGGGGCGGGGGGGGGGAAAAAAAGGGGGGGGGGGGGGGGGGGGGCGGCCCCGCCCAACCCGCCCGGGGGGGGGGGGGGGGGGGGGGGGGGAGCCGGGGGGGGGGAAGGCGGCGGGGGGGGGGGCGGGGCCCGGGGGGGGGGAGGGGGGGGGGGGGGGAATCCCCCCCGCAAAGAGAAAAAAAACCCCCCCGGGGGGGGGAAAAGCGGGGGGGGGGGTGGGCGCGCGCGGGAAAAGGAACCCCGGCCCCCCCTAAGCCCCGTGGGCGTTTAAGGGGGAATTAAGCAAGTGCCCACTAACTTTTTTGCGCTCGTAACCACAATTTTTTTTTAAATTATTTTTTTTTTATGATACCATCGTACAAAAAATATTCATTTACAACCCTTAATTTTCCAGCTCCCTTACGATCAATATTTATTTATTATTACCCTGCTGATTTTTTTATTATAGCGCCTTGATAGTTATTTTTATTAAAACTAAAAATGTTTCCTAGGAAATAACTATAAAACATGGCAAAACGACGTTTACCGGGTCAGCTAGTATTTTTATATATTTCATAAATAAAATATACTAAAAGCTAACATAGGTAACGGCCACTGAACCGTTCTTTTTCTCGTACATCATAGTTATTTTTACAATGAGAAATTAATTGGACATCGTTCTTCGCTCTTATTGACTTGGCCTTTGAAGTAATTATTGTTGAAATACCAAAACATTAGGATGTCCCAAGAGTTACGCTATGTACCCTTTACTTTCGTGACTTAGTTGCGAGGTGCAACCGATTTTCCAGTTCACAACATTGCATAGACTAAAACTATTAATGCTTGTGGTTTTAGATTTAGAATTTTTTTTGACAGATGAAGGACAGTCCTTCATTTGATATCAGATGACCTTCCTGCTTTAGTCTTAATGTTAATTTCGTTTATTTATTTATTGATATAGGTGTATGTTTACTGAACGTCAAATCAAGGGCGGTAGCAGCATGAAACTCTTCGCCACTATTTTAATAGTTTTATTTGTAAAAGTAAACTTTTGTTTTTAAACAACAGAAAGTAAATCAGTGCCTCTTGATTACAATATTTTTAGTTTAATTTGCATAGATGTTTTATTAAAAAAAAAAAAAAGAATAGTCTTCAGTCAAGATTAATGGCTATAATCTGCTGTTTAAGCTACAGTGAAAGGATAGACGTCTGAAGCCCTGACAAATTAAGATTATTCAAAGTCAGCCCGTTATTTTATAGGTATTACCAAAACCCTATGTTTTGATATTTTTTAATTCATCCAAGTTGTGTGAAAATCTTGATAACTCTGTTACACATCATTTTCTTCCAAACAATTGAATCCAGGAGTCACGATCTCCTGTAAATTAGCTAAAAATACATATTAAGTGTTCTTGTCTTTTAATATGTATAAGCACTCATATATAGCACACAGCTCATGAAAGAAAGTATAGGGTGAATCTGGAGCGGGTACAAAACAAATTCATCAGCCACCTGTATTGTAGAATGTACGCTGTGTACCCATTTACCCGCTTAAGTATTCAACTGTATTCACAATGGGTTCTGTGTGCTACATTGAACTCAGAGTGTGCCGAGAATTTGCGTTATCATGTATCTTATAAAGTTGTCACGTGGAAAGGAAAACAATCTGGTGTCTCTGATGGTTACGTTAGGTGGCGACATAGACCGCCGTTACAATCCGTCCCTCAACGAAAGCTAACCTCTCGAATAGGGCACACATAACAGCATAGATTAACAGACTTATTTTAATTGTCCGTTGAGTGAACTGACAAAAGGTCTGCTTCATTTCAGTTCCTATACTGTAAGAAATAGTTAGTCTTTTTGTAAATATTAAAAAAAATAGAACACTATTTAAAAAAATGCGATAAAGAAAATATCGTTAATAGTTACATTGTTTTTATATATAAACAACTACGTAATTTTCGTTTGAAAAAATATAGTTTTACATAATATACATAGTTGGAAAGGCGATTTGTTATGGATATAATTACCTTTAAGTGGAAGCACAGAAGCGGAAATATCTACGTAATGATGGGTTTACATCGCCCAGTCGTGACTGACCACCTGTCATTAACTTGTCTTCGTGATTCAGCTTGTGCAGCTTTTAACGTAATAGTGTTGCCCAGTCTTCATAACAAAATTCAAAAAGTATGCATTTCATATGTACGCTTAGATATTTTAGATTATTAGAATCGGCGGATTTAGGGGGTCATGGACCCCAACTGGATCGTAGTATCACAGGTTTTTAATTATTATCGTAAAAAATAGCTTTTGTCAATGGATAAAATACGTCCTGCAACAAAAGCGTAGGGGCGCGACTCGCGAGAGCAATGTAGTTCAAGAATAATTTAACCATTCTTAATTTCCACAATGCACTTACACTATTTTACACTAGAACTCTCTACCTCCCATCCCATCCATCCATTCCCTAAGATTATCATTCTGGTGTGTACAATTGATCAACCATGTAAACCTGTATCTTTAGTTTAGTTATCGGTCTTAGCTTTCTATATTTCTTTATAATATATAGTTAGTTTTCAATTATTGTTAAGTTACTATTTCATTAAACCGTTGGAAGTGCGGTACCCTGATGTACAGGTCTCCCTAGTCTTAGTTCAGAGGCTCCAATATGCTAAAAATTTAACTTGTTATTGAATAAAAATATTTTAATGTCGTTTTATAAGATTATATACCTACCTTGTTTTCAGAGCAACATAATTGTTTATTTGAACCAATTCCATATAAAAAAAATATATATAATCTTATACATATATAGGAATAGGAATTGAAACATATTAGAAATATTATTGGAGAAGGGGCTTCGCCAGTCCAGTGAAGTATATACGGTCCCGCACCACAAGGGTCGGGAAGATTAAAAAAAAGCTCGATATTTTAAGATTCTATATGAAAACGGTCTCTTTTCTACCTACTACATAATACGTTCGATAAGTCTCTTTGCCGACTCTTACCTTAAGATCCTTCGCAGCGCCAGCGATTGCTATGTCATTAAGACACACCCTATGCATTGAATAAACCTAAGTAGGTACTTGGGTACTTTACAAGTTGCAACAGCTTAATTCAGAAGAGTTATAAAGATTAATTGAAAAATCGGTCGCCTACGGTATCCTTGCCCCACTTGAAAGCATCTCACGCTATGCAGTTGAGATTGAAGGTAATTAAGCGGCAATACAATCTTCGTTGAATAGGGCATTGATGGGATACTGAGAATTTGTGATGGCTCTTGTATAGTGAGACTGCGGTGTGTTGACCTATGGTTATTGATAATTACTTTCGTACTACACGAGTTAAGTTCGGTGGCGGTTGTTGTATGGACAATGGACATGTTTTTGACTCTTTGTTTGAAGCTGGGTTAAAACATGAGCAAACTAAGATATGGGGTAGTGGGGTTGTGATGCTGGATTAACAAAAAACTAATTCGACTTGTTGAAGAGTTCGTAAATCTAAGTGACACTTAAGTTATTGGACATTATCGGAAACGAGAATGTTAAATTACAATTTATAAGTGTGGTACAGATACCGGCAAACTTCTTGAGCATTAAACAAGGGAGTGGGGGAAAGTTTGCGCATCGCGGGACACAAACGTCAACTGATTTGTGCAAGGACATTTGTTCAAGATGTTTTCCGGGTAAAGGGTTCATATTTGCTTCAAGTGGGCGATGATAGTTTTGTTTACGCTTCTAATTATTAAGTAAAATATATATATATGTAACTTAACTAACGTTAGGTTACATAACTCACGTTTAAATTAATTAGACGATTAAATGTGAAAATAATGTGTTTTTTTAAATAAGATTTATTTCTGATTATTGCTGACCAGCCCAGAAACGACGAGATATTTACTAATCATCTATTTTAATTATAATATTGTAATAAACGCTTTTATTCTTTAAGAATAATGAAACTCTTTTCCATATTTGTTTCGCCTTATGAATGCAAGTTTTATATGAAAAAAATCTAGATATTACTACAAGATTGGTTCGCTAATATTGACTAATTAATAAGTTATTAGTATTAAACGTTTCCGCTAACACAGTTACGAAAACTTGATTGATTTCCGGTGTAGTGATTAGTGGCGATTGTGGTCAGAGTGCGAAATAATAATGTAATGTTTAAATAAATTATGATTATTAACGTAGCGTTTGTTGATTATATTTTGATGAAATTGGAATAAACAAAAAAACTGATACTGCAAAAATATTATCGTTATTTACACAAATTTTATAAAGAGGAAAGAATTCATTGTTTACATTCAATAGGCTTCAAAAGTACCTACAGGACTGATTTGAAAAATTCTATCATTAAAAGCCTACGTTATCCCTGATGAACACAGGCGAATATTTAAAAAAAAGTAACGGTTCTGTGTGAAAAAGACCGATAAAAATTTACAATAGAACAAAGTCTTGAACTAAACTTTTATAGGAGACATTCAATATCTACAAAAAAGTCCGTAGTCTAACAAAATAATATTATTTTTGCATTTAAAAGTCTATTTACCGAGAAAAGCTTTGGGCTATAGAACATCATGCTACTACCGAATTAATGCAACCGCAGAGCTTAGCATATCTTTTATAAATATGACCTTTTTCCAACACTATAGAAACGTCGAAACTGCAACTGCTAAGGAAGGCAATATGCGACATATATACGAGTATATATCTCGTATATATGCGACTACACTCCTTTGCATTAAACAATGTTATGATTTCGTATCGAAATACTTTTGCAGATTTGTTTTAAATATATAACGTTTGCAATGTCGGATTGATATCCTTTTTCAACTCTGGACCTGTGTCCACAAACTTTTCTGAGTCAGTTCCCATAAGCGTTATCTACGGCGGCGGTATAAATACATATTATCCAAAACATAAATATTTTCAGGCCTTCAAACCTTCCAGCCAAGTGCACAGAAGAGGCGTTACGTCATAAAGCAGAGCACGCAAGAATGGTGGAAGCAGCAAGAAGAAAGGTTGAACGGGAAGCCGCGGCTCGACATGCAAGGATACAGGAATCTCTGCGATTGGAAGAACGACTGGCAAGACACGCTAAGGAATGGACACAGAATATATTGCCTGATTGGGATAACATGTAAGTTTTTTTATAGAAATTTAGAAGCAAGTTCATGAGCTGGCGTTCAAAAATATCACGTGTAATTGTCGCTTCTAACTAAAACAAAAAAGCACATCGCCACATACTTTTCTTGGTCGGTAAGAGCGTCCTTGTCTCAATATTAGTATTGCCAGTAAATAAAAATAAACCATTATGCCTAAGGGAAATAATTTGTAGTCATGCAAGCTAACTGAATAAGTTATTGAAATGTAAAATACGGTTTAAGAAAATACAGTTCTAGGCTTAAATAAAGTAACACAAACTTAGGAACAACTGATATGATAGGTTTTGTTACCTATACTATTAATATAATATCTTTTTAACCGTTCGATAATTAAAACTTTTCCATTGTAAATAATAATGCAAGGAATAAAAATAAATACATTTTAGTTGAATTTTTATTAGATGTTGGTACATAGTAAAATTATTTATTGTACGCACCGAGATATTACAATGTCAGTCTGACATTTCAAAATGGCGACGGTTACCAGTTTCAGACGCCCGCTAAGAAACGTATGTGGCACTGTTAACAATAGACAAACGAAAGAATAACCATAGACCAAACAAAGATTAATCATAAGAGAATAAAGCAGGCCCTTATTTCTTAAAACTATTTTACCGTTGTTTAGTACCTATTCATTCGTCTTGACTGAAAGACTGTAATCATGATTTCAGGATATAGACAGATGTGCTATAATTATAAATTAGTTTTATAAATAATCGTTTATTATTTTAAGTTTACAGCCTATTGAATTAAATAAATAAATTTGTTATTTATTTAAGCTAACATAAGTCCATATAGTATCATCGTATTAGTTACGTTGTCCTAAATAATATACCTATTAGTAGCTTTAAAGTACAACAAAACCACACACAATTTTTTTATTCGTAAAACCATAAAAGTATGGAACTGAATACATAATATGTAAAAGCATTTAAGATTATCTGGACATATTCGCCGTTAATATGTGAAGTTTTTTTTTTCCTAGAAACAGGTTTGATGCCATCAGTAGCTTTTATTAGTTTCTTCGTTAAACATATCATAATCTTGATCGCTACTCAGTCTTTGAATGATACGATAAACATCTTTTGACGAGAGTTCTCGGTTGACGGTTCTATGCTAAATCGTCACGTACAATCTAGTTATGTCATAGTCTGGGAATGCGCAAATGATATAGAATTTTCAAAGTAGCAAAAACTAAATTAGCCTGGGATGACCACGCAATATAATCGGAGGATAAAGTATTTATAAATTTCAAAGCTCTCCCAATATCTCTGATAAAGTAAATTGACTGTGAAGTGATAATACGAACGTATCTTCGGGACATATTATTAAAAATTACAATTTTAATACGTCATTATAGTACAACAATAAGAAAAAAATTACTAGTACATATTTTTATTTTTTGTAAAATTAATGTTTACCAAAATTGTTATATATTTTAGAATAGATAGCTTGTTACATATACTGTAGATATAGCATTATGTATGATGCGGTAAACTTAAATAAATAAAATATACTACCCGTAATGACGGGTAAAAAAACGGTGAAGGAAAACATCGTTAGGAAACCGGCTTGCCTTAGACCCAACAAGTCGACGGCGTCTGTCAAGTGTCAAGCACAGGAGGCTGTCACCTTGCCTAGTAGATTGACAAATGATCATGAAACAGATACTGAAGGATCAGACCTAAAAAGGTTGTAGCGCCACTGATTTTTTACGTTATTTTTAAAGTAATAAACTCGGCTGAAAACTTCAATATCCAGATGATCGCTAAAGCATTTATGATTGTTCCTTTATGCCTGACCTCAGGGTCATCCATTGTATTGTTATCTATATCATCCTCAGGTCAGGGATCACTAACCGCGCATTTTTTTCCACTTATTGTTGTTTCGTGTGACAATTTACTTATTGAATATGCATTAGCGAAATTCTTGTATTGTTTGTATGTAGGGTAATTGTCTAGCAATACTTCAGTTCATCTAGTTGGTCATTATATGACGAATCGCATGTCGAAAATGGGTGTAATAATAAATCGTGAAAAACTTGATTAGCTCTTGATTGATAATGTGTCGTAGGTAGCTTTTCTAAATAATTAAATTTAATTAAAAAGAAAAGAACGGTCCAATTTTAGATTTTTCAGAATACATCGATTTCTTTGTTAGCGTTTTCTATTTGTTGCATATATAACTATTATTTGTAATAATTGAGTTAATATTCGTTTGACAGGATATTTAATCTAATTTCAGGAAAAATGCAAAGCGGACGCTAGAATTGTGGTGGAGTGGATTGCCTCCTTCAATACGGGGTAAAGTTTGGCAGCTGGCAATAGAAAATAAACTTAAGATCACGCACGTAATGTACCAAGACCTGGTGTTCCAAGCCAAACAAAAGTTACATGAGGCAAAACTAAAAAGGAAGAGGTTAAAAATCAACAAAGCATGCGGTTGTAAAGAGGACAACTCTGATGACAGACGATCCAGCAAAGAGAAACTGCAGAAGGAAGAAATAACGGGAGAGATAAACAATGAGAAAATAGATATCAAAGAAACAGAATTAGATAGTACAGATGAAAGAATAGGATGCGAAGAAAGGTTATCCAATAGGGATAAGTTCGTAGCTAAATCCGAGACACCACGTCTAGGAATGTCTAGAAACTTCAGTGAGCAGAATTTAAAGAGTATGAACTCTGAGAGTGAGAGGAAGAACAAATCAAACCCGAATTTAGTAGAATACAGTGATGAGTGTTCAATGGAGTTGATACAATTGGATATAGCAAGGACGTTCCCCCATTTGTGTATATTTCAACCGGGTGGGCCGTATTTTGATGTCTTGCACGAGTTGTTGGCTGCTTATGTGTGTTATCGACCGGATATTGGGTATATACAGGTGAGGTTTTTATAGTTTTTATTTGTATAATTGCCAGATAGTACATTTTTTATGTAATAGGAGGCAAACGGGCAGGAGGCTCATCTGATGTTAAGTGATGCCGCCTCATGGACACTCACATTCCCAGAAGGTTCACAAGTGCGTTTCCGGCTTTTTAGAATTGGTATGCTCTTTTCTTGAAGGATCCTAACTCGAATTGGTTTGGAAATACTTCAGTGGGTAGCAGGTTTCACATAGTGATTGTGCACGGAAAAAACTGCCTTATTCTTGAAGGACCACATGTAGAATTGGAATGAAAAAAGTTTGTGCTGTTACAAGGTGCAACATTGTACTACAATTTATTCCTCAAATATTCAAATTAAGCATATGACCTAATTATGAAAATTTTAATTGTATGAGTATATTCATTTTTTTTAAATTTTTAGATATACTTTGGAACTAGAAAACGTTTAAAGTATTAATATTTTTATTCCAGGGTATGTCGTTTATAGCGGCAGTGTTAATATTGAATATGGAGGCGCCACAGGCTTTCATATGTTTCGCGAATTTATTAGACGGTCCTGTACTAAGAGCGGCTTTTACTAGGGACGGGGCTATGATGCAGGTTAGTACTTGTCTGTGATGACATTTCATATTTTGTTTTTTTTTTTTTTTTTACAAATCAAGTTTGTAAAATTAGGAGCATTTAATGTATATTTCTTTTTTGACGTTCATAAGTGTACATTGTGTACCTATATGAATAAATGATTTTGACTTTTGACTTAAATAAGTCAAGTTGGTTTTTGATAGCGTTGTAAATCCACTACCCCTAATTTTATGTTAGTTATAAGCTCAAGTTTCAAACGATTAAAGCTGCCACCGAAATTAACTATCGTCACAAGATTTTTTCCCTCTCAATTATGGACCTCCACGGAGAACTATATTAAATTATATAACAATTAGCTCTAGAGTATTTTTAAGACCTTATTTTTATATCAGTATCAAACATTATTTTTTCAAATTCCAGCGTCTATGGAAGGCGTATACAGCCCTCCTGGAATACAACGTCCCATCTGTAGCGAACGCGGTCGCACCGGAGCTGTACTTGTTGGAGTGGTTGTACACGGCCTTTGCTAAGGCGATGCCTCTGGATGCCGCTTGTCGGGTGTGGGACGTGTTCCTAAGGGATGGGGATACTTTCCTGTTCAACACGGCTTTAGGTACGACAAGTTCATGTGTAAATATCGCTTTAAAAAGTGTTACGGAGAAATAATGATCGGTCACAGATTAGTCAATTCGACGATGACGTACTAGTACATTTTAATCTGTTAATAGTCCTAATACTGTATTGGAGTTAAGTTTCGTCGGACTGACTGATAAAAAAATATACTAAATTTGTGACATTTAAGAATGATATGTTTACAGGCATTATTCGTAATAGGGTTGTTGCGACGCCATCTTGCAAAGAGAAGCGTTTCGTGAAATTGTGGATGTTTTATTTGAATTTGAAAAGGTTTTATAGTCTATTAAATATTTTTGAAGTTATACTTCTTTAGGCGCGTTATGAAAAATTTATGAGAGTGAAATTTTACGATGCGCGCGCACCGTGACACAAAATTATCAGTATGGGCGCCGAGCGTGCGCGAGCGAGATGGGAATAAGACAATCTACAAGTAAAAAGAAATAGAATATGCGTGACGTTAGCTATGCCAAGCTATGCCAAGAATTTTGAATGACCATAATGACATTTGTAGTACCTTTTAAACAAATAAATGATTTTTAATTATTTTTTCAAAGAAATTTAGCAATGCTTTTTCACAAAGACCTATTGTTACTTAGTTAAAAGGTTATGAAACCTACCTAGTTATTAAATTGAATTAATAATATAATAAATAATAATTATTATTAATATTAATTAATAATTGAATAATATACTAAATATTGTTAAATTATTAACGCTAAATATTTTTTATTAATTATTTAATATTTAAAAAATAAAGAAAGCCAAAGAAGTATAACTTCTTACGCGCGTACATAAGTACACGCACCATTTTTTTAAATCAAGTTAGTTTAGAATAGGTATCGAGTCAAGGTCTATTTTGAATTAAGTCGATAAATGCAAAGTATATGATCATATCATAGGTTTTAGTTTTATCTATAGACTTGGCAATATATTTTCTTTTTCTTAAAGTCTTGCGAGGGCTAGTTTAGTTTTGGATGCCAATTTATTTTGTCAGTGAATAATGCAACGGTGTATAATCTGTAAATCTGTCTAAAATTATAGAAATATGAAAATATCTATGCTTTTTAAGAGCAGTTTGAACGTGCACCTCTCAACCCTCTAAGGGTTGCGTTTGAATCACGGCTGCCAAAGAGAATTTTATTTCGTTTGTAAAATAGAACTTCCAGAGGAAAGGCATCTCATAGACACAAAAATCGATATCTGTCAGGCACAAAAGCCTAATCACCTATTTGACTATTTAGAAAAAAAGAATATTCATGAAATAGATACGGATACGGGCAAGATTCAGAGTTATAGCGCCACTGATTTTATGTACTTACGTTATTTTACGTATTAATAAATATAGGCATAATTTAATTGCAGGCATTTTACATTTATACCAAGAAGAGCTCAAAGAGATGGATTTCATATCGGCAGCGCAGTTCCTCACCAAACTGCCGGAAGATCTGGACCCCGAAGCCCTCTTCAGAAGCATCTCCTCGGTGTCCATGACACTGGACGGGATGTCCTTCGAGGAACTGGTCTCCTGCTGCCAGCTAGAGCAGACCCTGGATGATGATGTGACAGTCAGGTTATGATGTTTTTGGGAAGGTTATGTCTAAAAATCTGTCAAGATTATGTGTCTTCCAGTTTCAATTTTCATTAAAATTGAATCTAATACTCCGGAGGAATTATGTGGTATAAGAGTGACTCAACTCAAGTCAATCTTGATTCTGGTCTAATGTAAAGGTATTTTCACACTATTACGTGTAGTTTTAAAGTGCTAAATCGATTTTGATGAAACTTTGTATGAGATTGTAATACAATCCTAAAGTTAATAGACAAAATAAAAAGACGAAAATGCTTACGCGTTGAGAAATTGTAATATGTTAATAGCTTTATAAATTTATTAGTGTATATTAAATGTCTATGATAAATTTTTGTGTGTTGAAACATATCAATAAGGTATGTGCGTTAAATTCGTGGCGAAGCGCAAACCGTGTTGTTCATAAAAAAGTATATATTTAGTCTTAATTTCTTCTTCGTTCTCTCTTTCTTCTTAAACAAATATTATTTGGCTTTATTACTTTTTTATAAATAACACGGTTAATGTACAGTATGTACTTGGACTCAAAAATATTTAATGAGCACACACTATAAACCTGAAGTGTCACTTCGTAAACGTGAAAATATTATTTAACTAATTAAAACACGTACGTACACGTGTTCGTGTTTTTTTACGAAGTTACTCAATTTTTAAATGACAAACATACGAACTTAAACCCTACAAGTTTTCATTAGAAAATATTATTAGTGAATACTCTTTGCATATTATAATATTAATTTTGTTTAGTTAATATCAAGGACGTATGGTTTGAATTGAAAATTCAATTTAAGGGACTTTCCATTTAGTAGGGAAATTCTTAAAAACCAAATCAGTCTAATTAGTGTTTTAACTAAAGTAAATTTTTATCTGTATCTGTCAAATTGTGAGTACGCTGACATCAATAGATAATGATTTAGTTTTTAAAGGACTAAACTGTAAGCTATAGTATAAAGCTATAGACTGTAGTTATAATAGTGAAAAACGTGCGCATGCGCGTGTAAAATATAAGTTTTTTTGGGTCCAAGTACGCTTCAAGGCGGTGATTTAAATCTGCATCGTACCTGCACTATTATACTCGTCCATAAAACATTGTACATATGTAAATATTATCGATATATAATTAATTATAGATAACGCAACGAGTAGTAAACCGGCCTAATAATTAATCTTCGAACTAAACGTTTTTGTCTTTATCATTTTGCATATGAATGTTAGAGACAAAATATTTAAGCTTATTAATAAGTAGAATAAATGTACGGATTAAGCAAATTGGTAATTATCATGATCAATTATCGTTTTAATCAAAACAGAAAATAACTAGCAATTATCATTCATAATAACTAATCAAGGCTTGATCCATTGGCGTTGCGTAGAGATGTGGGGTCACTCTGCATCTTCTACCGCATTTACCATTGAGAGTGTTCAGAGGAGTTGTTCGGAATAATACCTGCTTAGTTTCATCATCGGACGTCGAGGCAGAATACGAACTTCCAATCGTATCACTTCGTCGTCCGACGTCCCACAACTGAGCGTTTCTTAATGCACTTTTTGCCGCACACCATCACTATGTGGATCCAGCTGCCTACAGATTTTTTTTTGAACCAATACGACCTAACCAATCCTTCAAGAAAAGAGCGAAATTCCAATTCTTAATAGGCCAGCAACGCACTCGCGTGCCTTCTGGCATTGAGAGTCTCCTGCCCGTTTTTCTGCTGTTCTATAAAAAAATAATTCACATAAACTGTTAACTAAATCAGTTTGATCTTCTTTGATTCTCTTAATTGATTTACGCACCAAAAAATAGTACTAGCGAATTAATGGAGATGAATAATTATTTATTGGCATTTTATTATGTTTTAAATATCGCTTATAGCGCGAACTTAAATGAAGTTTGTTGATATTTATCATCTGTCGCGTTATATACATTATAAGGCCACATATAAAATAGTTCTGGGACTGACATAACGCTGACACATTATAAAAACGGTTGGTAAAAATTTAACAGCGTTATTACATTTAGTTTTTATAAGTGATATTTATTCTCTCTAACTCGCGCTCGGTAAAATTTTATAATTTTAAATTAACAACAAAATTTAAATATTAACAATATATTATGAATACTACGGATTACATTAAAAGTGATTCATTATAGGTTTTAGTTTAGTAGCTTTAATATTAATTTTCTTGCCACGAATATTAAAAATATAAAAGCACTCTTTATATTTGGCACTTTGTTGATTTTTTCTTAAAGATTATTTACTTTCGTGGCACGTTGGCAAGTCCGATTAGAAATATACGTTGGTATGAAATATTGTTCTCATAGATAAAAAATATAGAATTGTATTTAAATGTATGAGTCGAGTCAAAATGTCAGAATCCATAGATTAAACTTGACAGCTGATGTTTGTCTATTACACGTTAGCGCGCGTTTATTATGTGAGAACAATAGAGAAGAAATAATTAAAATTGTATTACATATTATAATAATTATTATAGTGATTATACTGTATATTATTAATGTCTAATTGTCTAAATAGTTGTGATGTGGACTGATATTATTTATAAAATGCCATCTCAAGTTTTAAATCTTAATGTAAGGTCTGCCCCAAGGAGTTAATTATGAAATAAATAAATCGAATTTATTTGTGTTTTATTTCTTTTACAAATTAAGTTTGTCTAAGATTTTAAAATAATTGGACATAAAGCTAGGATCTAGTTTATGTAACATGTCCTTATTTTATATACCTAAAATAGGTACCGAAATTATCCTTAAATTATTAAAATTAATTAAAGATACGTATGAGTTTCGAATCCCGCTCGCACAGCACATAATGTGAAATATGTAATATATTACAGAAAAAGCTTAGACATCTTCTGGGCGATGTTCTTCGCCTATGCCTGGGCTTGGGCATTAGGCAGATTGATGGGTTAAACAAAAAGAGTAACAGTGATAGGCCAGTAGGTGTTACAAACCCGAGGACTGGCGTTGGAACTGCGGCTCCGAATAAATATATCTATTTATGCCCAAAACGACAATTAGCCTTGATATTCATATAATTAATAATCTTAGGGAAATCGTAGGGAAAATCTACGATGTTGTAAACAGTTTTAAAACCGATCAAATAAATATGTAACTAGAAAAACAATTTTTTTTAATTGAATTATCTATTAAGTTCGATATGGAACTGGTAACCCTGACGAAGGTATTTTTTACTTAAAAGGGTTTTCAAATCTAACACATTATAATGCATTGTTTATAAAGTATAAATACATATTTTTTATTATTTAAGTATTTATAATCTCTTATTTTATGCGTGACAAGCTTGTATTGATATTGCTAAGTTGTCAGTTTTAAAACATCGCTTGGGCTTAGCGACCATAAAGTTTTGCTAAAAATATTATCAACTGTGCAGTAATAACATATACATATAACATGTGAATCGCTTGCCAAAATATTATTAGCTAGAAAATAAAACCGCATCACCAATATTTTAGCGCCTGTAAGTAAAATAACAAACAGATTGAAGCGCCTGATTTTACAATGTCCAAAAAGCAGTATGAATGATATACCCCAACTTATGATCTGTTAATTCGTGATTATCATTTAAAATATATATAACATTTATGTTTATAATGTAATGAGAAACATTTGTTTTATGTAACTTATACTTTATAAATAATCTCAAAGTCGGATTTAGAGGTAGGCCTCGGGGCAATAAAGGCAGGCCCAAAATTATTTTCCAAATAAAATGGTTATTTTTTTTCAGTTAAGGTTTTTATTATTAAAGTCCCTATTGTGGGGTAGACCGGGGTTGTAGCCCGGTTGGCTTAAGGCTGAAACTATCTTGTCATGAGTAAACTCCGTCCCTGGAGGCCGCCGCTAACATCCACAATGGAGCCGACGTTTCTAGGGATGGTTGTTACATCACTGTTTCCTTGGATTCTACTCCTTTTATTAATGTTGACTTCGCATCATTCAGAGGATATTCCTGAGGTGTCAAAGGGTAGTTAGGGGCTGGTGTTTTAAAATTCAAAACAAAATAACCGCCCCTGGTCCAGATAGCAAATGCATGGAATCGTGTTTTGGGCGCAATCTCTTAATAATGGCTTATTTAACAGATTTCGAGATCTCCTTTCTGATCTTTTGAGGAAAGGCATATTCCCTAATAGCTGGAAAGTCGGACAATTGCTTCTTCTTAGGAAGTTCGGGAAACGGGTAGATTTAAAGCTTCGGCCTATCGACCTATTGTTTTACTTCCTGAGGTGGGCAAACTGTTTGAGCGAATAATTGTCTCGCGCCTCGATAAGCATCTTCAGATTATTGGTCCAAATCTGTCTGATACTCAATTCGGTTTTCGGCGTGCTCGCTCTACAATTGACGCTTTAGCTAAGTTAAGGGACTTGTGCGAAGAAACTGTCTCTGGGGGTGGGGTTGTGTTGGCGGTTTCGCTAGATATTGCGAATGCGTTCAATACTATTCCCTGGAAAGCGATTATGGATGGTCTCCTTTATCATGGTGTGCCTGTCGTACCCACGTCATGTAGTAGTCAACTTATCTCTCTGATCGATCGATCATTTATCCAAGTCGGGAAGGTTGGAGATGCTATCAGGTTCGATGTGGAGTTCCAAGGGGTCTGTTCTTGGGCCCCTTTTGTGGAACATTGGATTTGATGCAGTCCTTCGAGGTAGACTGATGCCAGGAGTAGTTTTAATATGTTATGCTGACGATACACTTGTGACGCCCAAGGGATGTAATTATCAGGAGGCGAGTTTGTTAGTTACTGTGGTGGAAAGAAAATGCCTCGTATAAGACAACTTGGTCTTCGAGTCGCTTTACAGAAATCAGATGTCATATGTTTCAAGGTCACCACCTAGAGGCGGTGAGAAAATAGTGGATGGTGTTCATATGGCATTAAAGCCGACATTGAAATACCTCGGGTTGGTTCTTGACGCCCGATGGACTTTCAAGGCTCATTTTGCTGCCCTGGAACC